GAAAAATTTTTTTTTTTTTTTTTTTTTTTGGATGGGGTGGGGGGGGGGGGGTTCTATTTTTGTTTTAGATTGTTTTTTAGGGTAATTGGCACAAAACATCCATACCTTTTATTTTTTTGACATTTTTGTTCCTATTTCTACTTTTCTTTATGTCGAAAGTCCTTTTCATTGTTTTTTGAGTGTAAAATGACCAATATGCCCTCCTATTTAAATAAAAGGAAAAAGAAAAGAAAAGAAAAAAATTGCATGAAACTTCTAAAAAAGTGCAAATGCCCCCTCCCCCAAACTTCACATTCTTCCCACACCTCATCCTCATGCCACCGCCACTTTTCGGCCATTTTTAGCCACCTTCCGGTCAGCTTGGCAGGTGGACCAACACAACAACTTGAAGCCCTTACTTCCCTCTTCACAACCCACCCAACAACTAGCCAGAAATCTAAAGGAATTGGCCGAAAAATTGCGCCAAAATAGGCTACTCACGTAACATGAAATGGCCAAAAATGGAGGCCGAAAACTTCATTTTCGACGACACCCATGGCACACCCATCCTCCAGGTCAATTATGCTCCTCATTGCGCTCCAATAGATGTCTTCATATCATCGAACGAAGTCGAAATTCAAAGTCTACAGCAAGAAAATCGAGGTTCGCGATCGGCCGGTAGTTCTTGAGTTCAATCTTGAAAATTGATCATTTGGTTGATGAATTGATGGAGGACCCATAGTTGTGACAACATTAGTTGACGATTACATGCTAGAATTGGTGGATTGAAGCCATGTAGCATCATCAATCAAAAGGGAATCGGCCAAGTTTCTTTGTGTAGGAACTGTCGAGGCTGTTTCTATAATTTCTGGCCAAAATTGACGATGACCCATAGGTTCATTAGGTTCGCCTTGAAGAGGCGGTGCTAGAAGGGGTGGTCCATGATCGTCGATCGTGATATCAGTGCCAAAAAATGTGTTTGAGTTTGCTGATTTCGTTGTTGACGAAATCGTCTGGTTCTACAATTTCTGGTTAGAATTGACAATGATCCATAGGTTCATTAAGTTTTCCTTGAAGAGGTGGTACTGGGAGGGGTGGTCCGCCATCGTCGATTATGACTTCGGCGCCGAAAAATGGAGTTGAATTTGTCGATTTTGCTATTGAAGTTGCGCGGGCACCCTATTTTGGCGCGATTTTTCGGCCAGTGGTTTGGTGGGTTGTGAAGAGGGAAGTGAGGGCTTCAAGTTGGTATGTTGGTCTGATGGCCAACCTGACCGAAAGGTGGTTGAAAATGACTAGCAAGTGGTGGTGGTGTGGGGGTGAGATGTGGGAAGAAGGTGGAGTTTTGGGGGCTTTTGCACTTTTTTAGAAGTTTCGCTTATAGTTGCAATTTTTTCTTTTCTTTTCTTTTTTCTTTTATTTAAATAAGAGGGCATATTGGTCATTTTACACAAAAAAAAAACAGCGAAAATGACTTTTAACGCAAAGAAAAGTAGAAATAGGGTCAAAAATGTCAAAAAATGAAAGATAGAGACGTTTTCCAAAATACACTCGAAAGATATAGACGTTTTGTGTCAATTATCCTTGTTTTTTATGATGCTAAAAAATTATTTGATGCTAAAGTTGAGATAGAGAGAATTTTAATTCCATAAAATATGAAAATCAGCAAAGTTTGGAATCACTTTGCAAATGCATTCCAGATGTACTATCCTAATTTAGGAATCACTTTGCAAAATTATTCAATTGAATAACATAAGGGATAACATAATTGTGAATGGTGTAAATTGAAATTAAGGTTCTTGATGTAATAACGTTTGCAAAGTGATTTTAAATTGCAACGTGAATCGTAAATTACATTATTGAAATTAATTACTTGTAATAGAAATATTAAATAAATAAAATAATTAAGTGAAAATATTTAACCCAATTTTTGTGCAGTAAAATAATTAGTCCATAAATAAATAAAATAATTAAAAAATTATTTTTAATCTATTCTTTGCACACGTAAATAAGTGAAATAGTTAATTGAAGTTTAGCAAATGCACGTTTATTAATTTTTTAAATTATATATTTGTGATGGTGGTTGACCCCTCATAATTGGTACATTTAACTAACAAATTCATTCTTAGCACCGTGTTAGTGTATTTGATGGTGGGTCTCATATATATATATATATACGCCATTAATTTATTCACCAATTAAATGGTATGTTCGGTGCTTAAATTTTACCGGTGGTTAAGCGTTGTTAAGCACCGATAACATAACACACCATTTAATTGGTTAATAGATTAATGATATGTTCCGTGTATATAGTGATTCACTAATTAAATAATGTGTCATGACACCGGTGCTTAACAAAATTAAGCACCGGTGCTTAGAAGATCAAATAATGTAAAAATAAATTTGAAAATGCATAAAAAATTGTCACTTCAATAAATGTTGTTTAAAAATGTCAATTTTTTTGTGTGAAAAATTCAAATCACCCTCGTATATACCTTTTTTGAAAGCATTTAATGCTTATTAATGCATCCATTTAATGCCCTTGAATACAATGATGGGATTACTTGTCTAGCATAATACAAACACATGACTACGTCACTGACTAAAATCTAGATTT